CCACATTATGTATACCTAACAGCCGCCGGTTCTTTTCATAAATCGCCATTGTTGTTAAGCGGATAAAATGTAAAACTATTTTCTGCAGTCAACAGAAACGAGTAAGTGACTGGTAGTTTAACAATTTATGAATTACGGATTTTCTTTCCCCAAAACTTTCTGGTTTGCTGAGACTTCGAAATAATTCGGGCCCAAAAGAAAATAACAGTCCATCTCCGACAGAAACCCACAGTTTATGATTTCACTGCTATAGCAAATTTTACAGTTTAGAACAGGAAACGGCAAAAATTTTCAAAATAATGAGTTTCGAGCTTCTTGGTGATGATGCGATATATTGCTTAAAAGTATTATTTTGAAATTTGTCCACCGTCTATAAAAATCACTTAGTTTCTGAATTTTGTTCCGTTTATGTCTTGTCATCCTAATCGTATGTTTACCCGTTCTGTTCTCAAAACATGATTTGGGAGTAGGTCTACAAGGGGTCCAACAGAGTGGGTATTCTCCTTCATGTTGTTCACCTGATGACGGATACTGGACCCACTTCCGAATCGCAGTTGCTTCAATAAACTCAAACAAAAGACAAAGCTATAAATAACACATTTAGGAGTATATCAAAATAAGAAAAGAGCAAAAAATTCATTTTCAAAGGACGATATTCGAGCTTAGGGAAAACAAATTATTTCCAGCCAATGTTTCAACTGAAGCTAGTGCAAAAATCTGAGCGAATTCGGCCAGCAAATTTTCTGGTATTAAAAACAACATTTCTATTAATTTAACTTGGCAATAATACCCTTCGGCATGCACTGTCTTCGCTCGCTTGGAAACCGGGATCGTGGGTTCGAATCCCACTCAGGGCATGGATGTTTAGTTTGTGTGTGTGCGTTTTTCTGTGTTTGTGTACAGGAAGAGGCCTTGTGACGGGCTGATCACCCGCCCAAGGAGTCCTACCGAATGTGTAAGATCTAGAAAAACCGAAGTGAACAGAGAAGTTCATGGAGGTAGGCCTAGGCCCACTGGCCCTTCTGGATATGCCACGTTCTTACATCTAACCGATTTGTTGCTGACAGCCCTTGCAATTCATATTGTTATCCTTAACGAGTTCAAACACGAGATGTATTGCTGTCACAGTGACTGCCTGGCAATCAATAAACCGTGCCAGGCACTGTATCAGCACCCCTTGAGCCCCTTAAGCCTCGCATAACGAAACGTGTCGATACGAGGAGACGTCTACAGGCAGAGTGAACGTCGCAGTAGGGTGGGTATCACTCGTACTTCGTATCCTGGAGGTCCTGGGTTCAAATATCGGCATCGAGGCCGATTATCCTGAATGAGCTTGGGTCTGGCTGTCCTCAGAATCGATAGGTAAATTCCGAGACAGTGCCACAAATTAGGTCACAGCTACTTCCTTCCAAATGCTTCCCAATGCTACATTTGTTATCCTACATTTGATGCTGGTCTCAGCTAACAAACTCCGTGGCCTGTAGTCCGCAAGCGAACTATACCGGCCGAGCGACCGCCGCTTGTCGGCGAAGTCAGTGACAACATTTTGTGGATAGAGTGTCGCGTGGTCAACGCAACGGATCCCCACCGCTGTTAATCTCGGTTTTCTAGACCTGAGCCGCTATTTCCATCAAATAGCTCATCGGTTGTCCTCATGAGGCTGAGTGGACCACGTTCCAGACCCAATACTTCTCAGAAAATCTGGTAGCGCCAGGAATCGAACCCGGAACCTCTGAATCTGTAGCCAGGAACTCTAGCCACTAGACCACAGAAGCTAATGACAGCACTGCCAAATAAATAAAGTCTCAAGACAGGCTCAAGAAATGCGACAATAATGCAGACGCGCTCAGAATTCTGAGGGAACAGAATTCAGTTTAGTTGTGTGTCTGACAATGTCGGTCCTCACGGCCGTCCACCCGTTCCTTCATTCAGTTACAGACATATACAGATAGCACAAATTCACTGATTTCTTGGAACAAATGGTAAAAATATAGTCACATCTTGCCACTTCTTAATATGCTGTCATTAAAATTAGGAACAAGACAATCTTGGCCTATTTGACAAATCCACCTGGAAACAGTAAAATTAAGATACCAATCTCCTGGCCGTTCAACCGACTAAAATTCTAAATCCGTGCCTCCTGAATATAATCCGTCACAACGGTCACTGAAACTACGCAACGATTTTCTGTGGGTCCTACGAACCGAGTTCCTACCTCCAGAATACTGGGCCCACGGTATCTATGCTCCTGTTGTATTGTGCCATCAAGAAAGGCCACAGTAAGACGAGGACAGCGGTCGAAAGTGAGAACTAAAATAGCGATAATCACATAATTTGAGAAGCAAATAGTTTTAAATACTTAGGATATACAACTGCAGCAACAAACAACAGAAATTTAGAATTAAAAATTAATAGAGTTAACCAAATGTGCAGTATAATAAGAATACTAAAAAAAAACAACAAAGAAAAGTGTCACGGATGACATTTTACAAATCTATGAGGGTACCTGTGCTTACATATGGATCCGAAATTTGAATAATAACAAAACAGAACAGGAACCAAAAACTGAAACTGCAGAAATAAAACTTCTGAGGTGTGTAGCACACTACACAAGGAAGGACCAAATAAGAAACACAAAAATTTGGGGAGGACTGGCATTTTTCAACCTAAATAATAAAATTCTGAAATGCAGATCACAGTGAAAATATTAGGTTCTACGAATTGAAGACATACGAATTCCGCGGGAAAAAAAATTGCATACGACTCACAAAGACGACAAAACATAGGTTTCCCACAGACAAGATGGAGGAACCAACATACACTTCAAAAAGCCGGAACATACCAAACACGGCCTAATCCATGATGATGATGATGATGATGATGGTGATGGTAATGGTGATGGTGATGATGATGGTGATAGAATATCTGCAGTGAGGACTGTGTCTGGAAATCTCATGCCCGTTAATTTACTTTGAAACGTCAAACTACATACGTACATTACTGCAGAAGGACAAGGCTACGTTCTAAATTCTTTTGTTTCATTCCAGTTTACGTCAGTCCCACCAAGGCGGTTTTTTCTTCAAACAATCCAACCGTACCTTCACTGGTATGGTACGGCTTTCACTATTGCAAGAGGCTTTCACTTCAAAAACCGCTGTAGCATAACGCTAATTGCAGAAACAGTTACCCCTCTGATACCGTCAGGGTAGGTTAACATTACATTCCAACACACATGCTCCCTTTACATAACGACAATGGACATGGTCACGTGAGGAGGCGCAACTTCCCATGCTGACGTCAGCACACATCACTATCATTCTATTGGTCCATATCACACAGAGTAGTTTATATCGTCCCGTGACCTATCTATATACGTGAAGATCCAGACACCAGCACTATGATTTGGATATTGTTTTGCACGACTGTAACGCTTTATTGCTTTCCCTTGCAGAAGAAAAGTGTTCAGAACAAAATGCCGAGAACATGCTCTCGAATTCAAGAAACCAATTAATTTGGTGGAGTCGTTACGTCCTGTACAAGTCCACATCACCCATCAAAATGTACGTAGGGTACAAACAGCGTCAGTGCCCTCTCTGTGCCACTTATCCAAAGTTAAAAGCGATTAAATCTAAAATTTCTGCCATAAATCAAATATTTCAAACAAAATAATAAAGCGACATTTCGCGTTCTCACGGCAGTGATATTAAAAATATTTTCTCCTCGGTTCTGGCACCGTGCAATCTCGTAATATTTATCCATGTATCTCATGCCTCTATCTTCACTCTTCTACCCTGAAGATGAAGGCAACATATTAATTCGAAACATCGTTAAGTACCTATGATTTATGAGTACATGGCTGGTTTGTGACAACTAGTGTAACAACAAATTTGCATTCTCAATAGATGAACATCAACGCCAGTGTGGCACGCAAAACTGGAAAGACAACATTTGGTAAATGTGCAAAATTTGAACTGGAGCATATTTTCTATGCAGTTAGTTGTTCACGATGTGGACAGACGGGAAGTCTGTTTGGCGGGGCCTAAGACTCATCCATCACTTATGAAGCAGGGAACGGTGATAGATTATTCTGTGTTTCTACTTCAATAATCGCCCTGAAAGATTGATGGAAACTGAGGGAAACCACTCTACTGCTCGGATTAAAATCTATCTGCCGAAGTACTGCGGCTTGACAGCTAACGGAATAATGATGTACCTGAATGGAGCGGACAAACTTCGGCACTGGTTCCGCACACCAAAACAAGAAAGAATTTCCATATCAACATGGGTCCGAAAACATTCAATTTGTGTTATAGCTGAAGCAACTACTAGCAGTTCAGCATTAATGTGTAGGCAGAGATTTTTATAATTTTTGATAGGCCAGGATATTTTGCAATATCTGCTTACAGACAACCACTACCGAGATTTCCTCTCACGTGATCTGCCAAAGCTACTGGAAGATGTGCCACTGGCAGACAGAGCACGAATGTGCTGCATGCATGGTGCTCCGTGCTGTGCGAGATGTTCTCAGTAACACCCATCGTGACCGATGGACAGGTACAGGAAAATCCACTGCATGGCTTCCACGCTCCACGCCAGATATGAATCCTCCGGACTCTTACCCGTGGGGATATCTAAAAGCCCCTGTGTATGCAGCCCCTGTTGAAAACGGAGACGCACTCCCTCGTCGAATTGTGGATGTGTCGAGGAGTGACACTGAATCTCGCGGAGGACATACTGAACAATTATTATAAACGTACTATTTCGGGTGTAACTCACAAATTGTTTCAGTATATAGGTTGGTTTGGATATTTTTATTCTTGTTGTTTTGATGTGCATAACCCGTCTTCAAAATTTGTCAGCACCTTTCAGTTACAGCCTGTATAAATTTTGGAGCGACCCATTTTCGTTTGTCGAAAAAGACCATGTCACAGACAAAATTTTTTGAAGTGGTCATTTCATTTGGAGCAGAAGCCAGCCGTTTGCAAGAAAGGATTACTTACCGTCATTGGTTTAGACTGAAACACACCACCGGTCAAGCAATGAAGGAAGAACGGGGCACTCACCTAAAACAAGAACATATAATTTAATTACGTTAAAGCAACAAAAAAGTGGATATCATTTCTTGTGGAATAACTGTCTCTATGTCACCTAGCTGATTTCGGCACCATTAACAACACAGTGCAGACAAAACGTCGTAAGAAACCGTAATGTACTTTTAAATGGCACACCTAAGGCTATACTTTCCGGTTCAATTTTTCTAAACCATCATACAGCAAGGCATTTCCTAAAAGCTTCAATGCCAGTACTTATATTTAATTCAAAATCTTGCTTTTATAACCGTTTCATTTCCTTACACTGCTATTACGAGGCATATCTTTAAATCTCTTCCCGTCTAACCATTCTTTTCCCAATGTATTTGTGAGATGGAGTGAACAACCACTGCCACAGCTCTCCACTGTAAGGCCCTGGTAGTATCTCCGCTACTTGTGTACATGGGGGTCTCTTTGTTAAATACTGGTTTACCAACCGAACTCAATTCAACAGTAGTAAACAGGGAAGACTAAGAGAAACAACAGGACAAAGGTCGATGTGTTGTAATTAATCGTTTGTTCAGTCGCTGCCACAAGAAATTCTGTTCAAAGCGGTCACCTCGGATGACACATTACCACAGTGACAGTAGCAACATTAGCGAACAACGGAAAGAGCGCCAGCTGTTCAGTGAGTCTCATACTTTCTCGTTCTGAGCTGCCATTTCATAGTATTTATTTACACCTGTGCAAAGTATAAATATATCTTAGATTGCATTTATTGTTACTATACAGGAATTATGGGTTTTCTTATTTTTTTATTTTTATAAACAGTCTTTAACCAGAAAAATGTTTGTACAGAACAGGTTTTATTATAAAATCAGGCTTCCATTCTTCAAGCTCTTATTTAATCTTGCGGACACTGTAAGTCAGAAAATTATTTTTCCTTTGTATTCTTAATCTCTTGTTTATCGTCCACCCAGTCCCTTAATAACAACACGTTTTATTGATTATGCTTCAAGTTAGTGATGATTGATTGTGAATATTCGTTACAGAGCCGCGGACGATCGTGTTTCGTGATGAAATCTAACTAGCAATTTATATTGTGACGTGCTGCCTGAAAGCACATCCATCGCTGCGCAAAGGGCAATGAGAACGCATGCTACATAGGATACTGCCTTCCCAACAGAAGCAGAACTGCTGAATTCCCGTGGCAACGGATATTCCAGCTAACAGCGAAACTGAACCTTTCGACAAGGCGTCCTCTGTCCCGTCCGAGCGTTGAGTATAAGCGAAGTACTCAGACTGACCCTGCGGGTCGTAGGAGGCGACCAAAAGGGAAGTCTCAAATCTGATACAATAAAATATGGTCGCGAGTCCCAAGAGACTCAGACCCCAGAAACACTGCACTGGCAAGGGCCAGCAGCATATACAAAAGACAGANTAGACCTGTCCTCTCGTCAGAGAGGGCGCCCTACAAAAACAAGAACGTAAATGCAAAACAGAAATAAATACCCGGGGCTCGACACCAAGACTTACTGACTGACTGACCGTCAGTCGTAATGTGACTTAGACTTGGGATCCAGTCAGTTCGTATCCGACTAGAGCAGGATTCAGTCCAGCGTAGAAGAACGAAGAGCCAAGACGTTCCACCGAGATTAGTGGTGCATGAGTGTTATATCAGTTGAAGAGGAAACGTCTAAATGGCGGTATAAGTCCGAGTAATTGTATTGGTGAGTGTAATAAACATATTCGTCTATGTGTGTTCGTATTTCAGGCGAAAGAGACAAATCGCTTGGGTTCATGATATAAACTTGTCAAGAGAGGAACTGGGGGAGTTTTATACGCTGATACCCCAAGTCCTGAAGGACGAAAAACGGTTCTACATATATTTCAGGATGAATATTGATAGGTTTGATGAAATCCTGAAAGCCATCAGGCAAGATATCACTAAACAATATACCAACTGACGGAGGCCTATTCTTGCCATGAAGTGGAGGATTTTTTTGATACCCATAGAACTGAAAGAAAGAAATATAAAACACATTGTATCAGCAGCGTGTTTGCTTCATAATTTTCTACGTCTCAAAATCTGTGATGAAAAGTACAGGGAAGAACTGCTACGAGTGGAGCCAATAGAAGGAGAAATGTTCCCTATCCAACCTTTACGTCTCCCAAGGGCGGCAAACGTTAGCTACGCCATTAGAGAGTGGTTTGTTGCGTACTTCAACTAGGACTGCCCCTGGAATTAGTGTTACTAAACGGAACTGGTGCATAGCCTACATTAAGAATGTCCACAGTTACTGTATACTTAACCCTATAAAATATACACAGATTTTTCTACTTGCTGTCTCTGTTCATTGTAACAGCTAATTCCTTCCACTTTCTATCCTTAGCACGTGAATCCTTGAATATCGGATGATGAGTATCGTACAATAAAGGATTTTCTTTGACGAACTCTATTATTTGTTCCATTTGGCTACCCATGTCGTTTCACGTACCTATAGATACTGATTGAGTGTGAGTCATGGCCAGCTGGTTATCGGGTGTCAAAGATTCCCGAGGTTCCCGAGTGTCGCGGCTGTGTGCGCGGCCCACTCGGTAAACAACCGCTTTCGTCCCGAGTGCTATATCGTCCCGAATCGTATCGCGTCTGTGTGTGGGAGCCTTTAGGGTTTGTGGTACCGTTTATCCTGCTAAGTGGGTACCAAGGGTTTGGAGAAACATCCATCTTCGCGGTAGACTCATATGTTATAGTGTACTCGTATTCTGTAAGTGGATAACTCAGACGATGCAATATGAGAATTCATCGGCACGCAAACTCGAAATCCATCGACGTATGTTTTGCAGGATCTGTCGTGAAAAGCTGACAATTACTTCACTGATTTTCAATGTCCGCTCTGTTACTGAAGCCGCATCACTGCTGAATCCACAGATGTCCGCAATGTACACCTATCAGAGGTGATTTGAAATCAACACACACATTCACACCCCACTTCTATTCGATACATTTTAATATTGTCCACCCGGTTAGATCACCACATGATACGAATGAGAGTTAAGGTTATGAATGGTGCATCTGGCCTCAGACGTAGTAAGGGGTCGATTCGGAAATGTTGAACAAGCCGTCGCAAATAGCCAACAAGGTTTGGAATATGGAACCCCCCCCCCCAAATACTTGGTAATTATAAATGTTCACAAATAGCATCAATCTAATGTCTGGAGAACATGTAGCATGCAAAGGGGGAAAGTTAATTGTGTATAATTTTTTGTTCGGAAAATGTCAAGAGTGGGGACCAGTATCCGGACCATTTCACAAGGAAAAAGGGCGGTAAAGGGTGAAAAAGGGTAAAGTTACCCCTGTAACAGGCCGTGGATGCCCATACGGCTGTGAGAGGTTGACGGCCCACCATCTTCTAAACAACCGACTCATATGGCGGTAGGGTTGTCAGCCTTACGCGCCGACCGTGTTTAGCCCCCCAGGAAGATTAGTGGAACTCATTTTTGTTAGAGGCTGAGTCGTGGTACGGCTGGAAGGACTAGGTAAATTGAAAAAAAAAATCCACCTCCTCAGGACTCCAACCCGCGACCTTGCAGCTTGTAGCATAGTGACTCAACCAATTACTCTACCGCGTGGCCCGGTAAGGAGTCATGAATCTGAAAATCTCACCTGCATCTAGTGTCAATATTAAGAATGGCGGTGCCCTACCTCCACTCCCCCACACGTCTTCATAGCACAATGCTTAATTAATTGAGCAGAAGGATAACTTCACCGGCGCTTAGCGACGAATGAAGTTGGCATGAAAACTAATTTTGAAAGAATAGGGTTCAAGTGGTTTTGAATAAGGTAAGGGAGTCTAATGTTGGCCTCTTGCGAGCACAATGATGAATCTTTAGGTCCCACAAGAAGGGACTTTACTGACTATCAGCGTATCAAATTCGAGTTTCGGCCTTCCAAGTAACATACAGCACCGTAAACTTAGTATGTCTGAAGACAGGTAACTTCTCACGGTCGCGGAAATATTCTAATGATCACATACAACAAACACAGCAGGATAAATAAGTTGAAAAAAAAACAGCTGTAGTTTGGACTACTTTATAATTGGGAGATTCCATGAGTTGTATCTTCTTGTTAGTTAAGAATTTTAAGTGCTATAAATACTTTTCATGAAACCAAGAGGAGAGCACACAGAAAAAAGGCAATCCAGTAAAATGTGAAAGGTAAAATAATTATAATGTGCCGATCTGATGAGGGGTCTCATGCACAAGTAGCCCATTCAGGAGCTGCGTATCAGGGAAGAGTGGCAACGTCATTTCTACTTTTATCTAAACGCATTATGCAGGAATGAATATGTACTCCCGTTACAGACGCATCTCCCTCCTGAAGTTGCTGCGTATCTCCAAAGCAGTGACGGCCTTTCAGAGCACACACTTGTAGGTTCAACTATCGCACTTCGCGGATCACAATCATCCTTCAGGAGTCACTCAGGCACTGAGTAAATTTGCTTCCTAATAAAACGAAACCAGTTCGAGAAGAGATTTTGGAAGAATTTTGAGAATTGGGATAATAAGAAGAATGTTCACTGCTTGACCAATTTTTCCAATGCAATAATATATTCTTAACATAAGCCACTTTTCCATAATGCGTTGAAGTGCAACATGTATCCCTTCTGATATCAGACGCAAATTCCATGCACAAGACAAGATGCAATGTGGGCAGGAAGACAGAGGGACAGATGTTACTGAACGCAGATCCGTACTAGCACTGCCAACCAAGGTTCTCATGGGTCGGACAAACTGGCGCTACTGAGTAAAGCAAAAGCAGTTGTCTGAAAATGGTCACAGCTCACTACTGGAAAATGGGCGTTTCAATAGAAATCGAGATTCTCTTCCTCGATTTGATCTCGAAAATCCGAGAATCGTAAACGCCTCGTTTTCCAACAAAATATTTGTATGGGTCCACTGTACGGCTACGTGTGCGTATAGCGTATTGAGTGGTGAGCACATTTAACGTTTCTGGAGCCATGGTTACATGA